TAAAGTAAATTAATAGCGTACTATACAAAGATTTGTTTATTTTTATTAAAATACAATTTTACAATTTTATTTAAAAGGACGCATGTGTTGTCACAGTCTTAAAAGTGCAGTATATAGTAAATTGTACGTTTGTGTAGCTCCGTTAAATTAAAAATTATAGTGAATTGACCTCTTGTACAATTTAAAGGTATGATTGTTATCTAGACAACCTCATATTATGCCATTTATTATATTTAAATTTTAAAGCAAAGTTATGAGTATTTTAAGATGCACAAAAAATTTACAATTTTAAAATACTCGTAACTAACTTTAAATTTAATATATAATAAAAAGCATATGAGGTTGTCTAGATGATAATTTTACCTTTAAATTTTATAAGACGTCAGTCGTCAGTTCGCTCTAATGTTTAAGCTAACGGAGCTTCACGTGTTCTGCTGAACGTAAAATTTAGTATATAATGCACTTGTAAGACGGAGAAAACACTTGCGGGTATCACGTCCTCTTAATTATACATATTTTTATATACATTTACATTAGATAATATTATACAATTTTTACATAGTTATTATGTACATAATATACATTAATTTTCATTTAAATAATGAACAATATTTTATACATTATATTAATTAACGTATTATTTTATACAATCGTTATTTCCTCTTGCAAGGCTAACAAACCGTACCTATTTGATAATTCTAGTGGCTAAGAACATATTAGACGGTCCTTGGTACAAGAAATTTGGCCACATCTTACAAAACAATGCCATGACTTCAGTYAATCAACTTCTGATCATCATCCAAGAATGGAGGTGGAGGCAAATAAAACATTGTTTACCAAGGCACTAAATTTTCAATGAGGGGTGGTGGATAGCAAAATCTTGACGTTGCCACACATGGCAGCGGCGGTGGCGGAGGGAATGAAAAACCAGAGGCAATCACATAGTCAGCAAACGGAGGTAAAGGTTGAGAAGAAAACATTGCCGGCCCAGCGGCCCCACATAATATTGGTGTGGTACTGACAAAACCGGCGTCTCCATGTGACGTTTCCGTCGGACATTCTGACGGCGTCTCAAACTGCCTTTCAGATGCCTTTCATGCGGTCTTTCCACTTGTGTGCCAATATCTTTCGCCTCAACGACGGGTTTTTCAACACACTACAAGGATAATCACGTATTATTATTTTTTCACATACAAATTTATTATACCATATTATATTCAGTCCTGTAAAAAGTAATTTTTTCAAAGTTTATAAATTATCAAATAGCTAGAACATATTTTTCCACTGTGGACCAATGTATTTAATTAAATTTATTTTTTTTACATTTAGTAATATAAATATACCGATTGAAAATGTGGTTTAATAAATGAGGTTTAGCAGTAAGCCACTACCTCCCTCCATCGAGGACTGCAGTCAGCAGTATCATAATATTGTAGATATAATAATTTAATATATATTGTAATTTTTAGTACCACTTTGTCATGTGTCTTGTCCATTTGTGATTTATTTTCTATTTCAACACTTGTTTTTCCGCAGCTCATTATCGGAGTATATATGTTGATTAGTTMTTTAATATTGAATAACGCATACACGTCAGTGGTAATGAATAACGGTAATAATAAATAATAATAACATTTTTTATATCATATTTAACAACCCAGCTGTATCGGTGGTTTAGCGGCTCGTTTAAAATTATAAATTATAAATATGATTTTTGAATAATATTATCAAAAGCTTACTAGGTATCACTGAGACAAAATCGTATGGAGGCCCAGGGAAAGGTTATTATGATATTATTCCATTGATCCGGGCTTGCGAATATCAATTATACGAGATATATATAATATATATATATGAAATATATTTAGCACTCTATACCAGGTAGACAAACCATATGTATAAAATATAACTAAACACACGATACAATTTTACTATTATGTTATAAACATATTTTTATATATTTTCAATTTATATAAATATTGTATTAAAATTATACAGGTAATATTTGAACTTTATTTTTGTTGCTTTAATTTTTACAATATATTTATCAATGATAGTTTTCTACTTTTTCTAGACTTCTAATATTAATTTATTTATTTCGTTATGCCTAGGTTAACCATCCATTTTCTAATATGATCATGAATCATGATCAAAATATATTATTCAATAGCAATATTTATCTGCGTATATTATGTAGCTAAATTGCCTAGTTAGGACGCCGTTTGATCGTAATATATAATTCTTTTTAATATTCTATTGAAATTCTTGGTAAAATGGTAAAAACTATCAATCTAACGGAAACACCAAAATAAATGTATGAAAAGATACAACAGTAGTTAAGTTGTAGTTTGTCAATTATAGTAATCGTTCACTTAGTATGCCTGAGTTATTTTAACAAGATAACAGACAAATTATTTCGGTGCTTGTGAGTAGGTGTTCTCGTATTATTATAATTTATATGCACTTTCGATTTCACAATTCTTTAATTTGATAGCGCATACATTTCTATAAAACTACATTTTTAATAAACTAATAATATCTTACCAAGTGCTAACTAGACTTTGGGACTTATATATTATCGTCTCTAAAAACAATACACATTTAGAACTGTGCACCAACTATCTATTAAAAATATAAATTACTTTTTCATTAAAACAAAAAAACGTCACGGTGACAAGACATACAAAACCGTATTCCGTGAAAATCATGYAATATTGCGATATATGTCACAATATAGAAATTATAGTTTTTTTAATTCAATTTTTATGATTTATGAATAAACGCCGTTTATATCATTGTCATTATTATTTTTTTATTTTTGAAAAATTCCTTATTTAAAAAAGAAAGTAAAAAAAAAAATCTAATAAGATAGGATTATGTATAAATATTAGTTCTATAATATTTATCGAAAATATGCAAAAATAAGACTTCAGATTCAGGAAAGAACTTTGTTTGCATGCAAAACAGTATACGTAAAAAAAAAATAGTGTTACTCTAATCTCCGTGATAGTTTATATACATACAAAAGTATCCATGTATAACTTATATATTTTATATGTATGTAAGATATCACAATACATGACTTCCGCAATTTAAACTCAATTTTAGGTAAATGTTGACAAACAATAATTGAGGCCCTAAAAAAAAACYTGCCTAGGCCTTTCATATCCCAGGCCGGCACTGCTTTCTCCTCACCACAAAATCAGAAATAAATTAAACATACGAGGATATTTCGCAAACATTGAGACACATATTGTGTATTTGCAGTGTTAGTACAATTGATCGTGATATCATTATTTATGACATGTTACCGTCATTCGTGTAATCATGTTTATGAACTGTGTATAAAAACTATCAGTTATATCTTTGATGTCGGAGCCAGAACGCTTGATAATTATTATAAATGGTTGAAAGGTGTTAAACGATTCCCTGGTATCGGTTATTATTTCATTAATATTGTTCAATGCCTTTGCGTAAAAAATGTCATTGATGCAGTTTACGAATGGTTGGTCTACATCACGTATTACACATATTTTTGACCAAACATAAACATATGACTAGAGGTTTTTCGCGACGATACTTTCGATACTTGAAATAGGTATCATTTTCCCACTCACCAGCCAGAATACAGATAGCATTCCATACCAATATACCATTGTACATTTGATGCATCGGTTGAAATACGTAGATACCCAACTAGCAGCAGTGAGGTTCTCTTTCAAATCGGATATTGCTTTCGGCGCAAATACGTTTTTTATTATTGCCTCTGTTTTTGTACGTGCGCATCTAAATTTCGAGTCAAAGCACGATTGCGGATTAGTTTGGATGCACAATTGTTTGAACGAAAAACTGTGATTTTCTTGAACGGTATGGACGTATGGAAAGTCCAAACTCCTTTTGCTGCTGCAATTTCAAAATCTTAAGAAGTTGGTGAGTTAACATTTTTGAAATATCTTTGCAAAGAAAAGCTTGCTGCTGCAGCGAGGTCAGCATTTTTTGGTTTTTCAGATCTTAAATGTTCTACATCTACATCACTCCCATCCCCTGTGTGATACAGTCAGACAGACAATTGTTTAGAACATTTTTCACAAAGTAAATCAGATGGGCAAATGTCTCTTACTTTTATAAATGTATATCCCTCTTGGAGAGCTTTATTAAATACACACTAACGTTTCGGCATCTCGAATTTATAAATGCACAAGAACTCAGCACAAATTATTCAATAGTTATATTACTTAATATATTTATACGATTTAAAATACCACATAATAAAATTATAATAAACTTATAAGCAAGAAAATTCAAAACAGTTGATGGTTACTTTATTTATTTATTTTTTTTTTATTAAATTAAAGTGTTTCTGACATACGAGGTCATCAAACTTATTGATATAATGAAGAATTTTTAACATCATGAAGTTGTTAAGCGTCAATTTATTACAATATATATTACAGTAAATTACAAAGATGAATAAATAAATAATAAAATACCTATGACATTATAATATTAGTTAATCTAAGTGTATTTTTATTTTTTTATTTTTTGTAAATCTTATTGGTGTTGAGAAAGGGCATGATGAGGATGAGAAAAAATTATTCTATTTAAAATAAATGAATAAAAATTTTGATGGCTATTAAAAAATTAGTGATTGAGTTACATATTTTCGTGTATATTTCGGTTATTTTAAGTGGATATTTGCATGAATATATCCTATAATTTACGTGCAATAATAAGTCCCGAACCTTATTTATTAACTACAGACACTACAGTAGATGACAGTAGAAACTGGAAAAATATTTCAAAWAAGTAATAGATAATRTATAATAATGCATGTAATTATGAGGTGGAGGAGGCTTTAGCCTGCAAGTAATTTATTTTACTTATTCTATTATTTTTACTTCAACTCTGGTTTTCTGAAAAATTCCTGTTTTTCCTAATATTGTTTTTTTCCTTTCTGTATATTTTTAAAAGTTTTAGGAATCCTTCAGTTTTGAACCTTGCTAAAAGTATCCACTATAAATCCGATTTGCTATCATATGCTATCCTCAAAGTTAAAGACTTAACCATAATCGAAAGTTAATGATGAGTCAGACTTGAAAAAATATGAAGAAAACACACATCAGCCGATAGYTATGGTCAGAATCTATTGAACAGTAAAAATAATATAGGAGATAAATGTGATCATATTTAATCATTTTCTCAAGTGTTCGCGTTTATAACGTACCGATTTTTCGTAACGATACGGAACAATAATACACCTAAGGCGAATAGCAACGTCGCCGCTGAAACGATAGCAACGCCACTGCAACAGGAAAAAGTGGAGGTGGTAAATAATAGCGACCGACCACGGTTACCGATGCGGCCACCGATGTTCCGGGCGTCGACAGACTTTTTCTGTACATCACACTCGTACCCGCCGTCGCCACCCACGGTCACTACGATACGTTGAAGCTGGTCAAGGACGTTGGCCGTGGTCGCAGAGGTCGGCTCGCATATGATCTCGTGTTGTGACAAGGACGTGACGTGGCAACCACCCTTCGAATTCCGGAACCGGACGTCCACGTCGCTGGCCACGTAGCCCTGGCCCAACGRAGACGATGAATGACCACTGTTAATGACGACGGTACCGTTGCGGATTTCGAAATCAACGTAATCGGGATCGGCATAGACGGAAAACGGACTGCGGGCGGTGGTCGCCGACAACCGTTGCTGCTGTTGGTGCTGCAACATCACCGGCAATTCCAATTCACGACCATCACCA